TGGCCTGGGACACTGCGCCTGCCCTCAGGAAGCCTTAGACATTTCTGTTAGCAGCTGTGTCTTCCCAGACTGGAGACCCTGCCTCCGGGCTTCAAGGACAAGGTTCTTGGGACAGCTGTGCCCAGGAAATGCAAGAGTCCTGGAGAAGGTGACTTATTTTGAGCACTTCCTTAGCTGGACCCTTTTGCCCTAGCCAAGGAGGTACTTGGCTAACTTATTAGACAGATAAGAAAACCATATTCCAAGAGGTGCAATAGCTTATCCGCGACCACACCACTAGGAAAACCAGGGATTTCTGAAAGGGCCTGGAGCTGCCTCATCCCCACCTCTTCGCCACCTCAGCATCCGACCCTGCCCAACCCTGGGGGAAAGCCTGGAGTGAAGAGAAAGACCCATGAGAACTTTAGGACAGGTATTCTATAGTTTAGGTTCTTCGGGGTCTAGCCCTCGCCTTCCTGCAACTTGAGGGTGTGGCATCTCTGTTGGCCCAATTCACCATCCGAAGTACAAGGCCTCGGGGGTCCTCCCATCTTACCCAGCTGTCCTTGTGTCTTGGGCTGGTGCATCCACCAGCCATACCCACCCATCCCCCAGACAGAGGCTGGAGAATTCTGGGTGCTGCAAGGGCAGGGCTGTCCTCCAGCTGGGGGTGGGGGGCAGACCTCCTGCAATTTCCCAGAAGTGCTGCCCACTACCCTCTGTCCCCAGGGCCAGGAGCTCCGGCAAGGAAGGCAGGCAGCACTTTTCTTTCCCTCCCAGACCCGGCCCCAGGTCAGGCTTGGGCCCAAAGAGCCAGCGGGAACACCAGAGATGTGCATTCCAGACACCAAGTAGCTTTGGCTTTAATAATTAACAGCAGCAAATATTGATTCATGCAACCACTTCCAGACCTGCACACTTCCGGGCACCCATCACAATGCAGCCAGAGGAACATCCTTTCCCACACTGGCCCTGGGGGAGGCCGAGCCTGCTCATATCACCAGCCATATGTAGGCCAGGTAGAGTGGATACTGTGTATGCTTCTAAGTGTGTACGTGTGCAACTCCAAAGCTAGTTATGGCTGTGTGTGACATGCTGTGTTTCTATAGCAAAGAAGTGTGGGAGTCGGGTGGATAGGGATGTTTACTGTCTATCTCCTTCATGTGTTCAAGTGCAAGGCTGAATACATTATAGATATGTGCTTCTGTCTGTCTGTCTGTCTGTGGCCTGACCCCCAATGTCTAGGTATAGGTAGGCCAAGTATGCACTTGTATGTAGATTTTACGGTTCTTGAGTCCTGCAGAGGGCAGCTAGTGTCTATTCAAATGTGGCTCCCCAAAGAGAAAAGAGCTCCCCTGCCCAGCCCTGAGAACACAGGCAGACTGATAACTCGCAACATTTCCACAGGCATCGTGTGGTGCCGAGCTGACAAGGTGAATAGAGAAGACACTGTCCACTCTGTTATAGGTGGAACTTGTCCTTTACACAGGGAGGTCAGGTGCCCCTCAAACTGGTCCCAATATCATCATAAATATATGGGGTGCTGAGGAAAACTGGAGAATGATGCAGGCTTGGTTCTAGCAGCCAGTAGCCTGCTGGAAACCCAGAAGAATCACTCAGTATCTGGGAGATGATTTCCTGCCCTGAGAAAGGACAACAGTTCACAGGATGGGTCCTGGTTGGGGGAGTGGTGGATGGTGGGAATGGGGTGGTCTGAAGCTCAGTGTCTGAGCTGTGTTACCACAACTGGAAAGTGGTAGCCAACTGGATACCAGGAGGTGAAGGGTAATCAATGGTAATCAGAAGGGCCCAGCTTGGGCTGCCTGGGGTGCAAGACTCCAAGTATGTGCCTCATTCGCCTTCTTTTCTTCCTAGATGAAAAGACTGGAGCCCAAATAGAACAAATAATAGTCCAGTGCCCAGGGGATAACCTCACTCACAAACCCAGCTGCTCCAGCAAGTGGCTGCCATCAAATCTCTGTTTCTTGAGGACCCTTGTGGCCCTTCCTGGGGCTGCTGCCCGCCAGGGAAGGCAGGAGAGGGTCCCGGAAAGCCTGTATGTGACTTAAAGGACTCTGGTTTGTCATTTCCATGGAGACAGCAGCCCTACACATAGAGAACATCTTTGCTCCTTCATCCTCCAGCCAATCCTTATTGGAGGTCAGCGCTCTGGAGGAGGTTCCTGGCAGAGCCTTCCTGGCTGTGCAGCCCTGGGGAAGACCCTTCACATCTCTGAGCATTTAGATCCTAGTTGGGAGCAGGCTCCATGCCCGAGGTTAATGAAAGGGCCGTATGGCAAGGTGGCTGTAGGTGGGCTTTTGTCACTACAGAACATCCTGCCACAGAAATGGTTCATTCCCCTGCACTGGAGAGTCCACGGACCACAAACGGGCCAGAAGTATCAGCCGGTCCAGGCCCCACCACATCCAACCTGCAGCCCTTTGGGCAAATAACAGTA